TTTTGTACGTATTATACATTTCCTACGTAGGAAATGTAGGAAACCTCTCGCAGCGCTAAATTTCCCAACCCTGCCCATAGCTATAAGAAATTGACCAATTACAGTCGAATTCGAGAAGAACAAGCGACTGTGATTCGCCCATTTCGTATTGGTTAAAAGGCTTAAAATCCTATTGTAGACTACATTTACACGGCACCCTTAATCGAGTTTAATAACATCCGTAGTTATGAAACTGGCCAATCACAATCATTCCATTCTCCCGAGGAAAAGCTGTGATTGGCCAATTTCATAACTACGGATGTTATTAAACCCGATTAAACGTGCCGTGTAGCAGAGCTCATAGATCCGGGGGACTTACCGAGGCTCGTGGCCGTGTTGCCGGTCGCATGCCGCTTTTCTTTACATTACTTTTTGAAATCTTATCGCGAAGAATGCCAAATATAATACGAAACGTTGTATTTTATGAATACAATTATCCAGTATACGATTACTAGCTCGCATGATTTATTCATACAAGGATCGAGATGACAATCGTGTGTTACGGAACAGATATTTCATCCAATTCATTCATTTGGAATCAAAATAGAAAACAGAATTTATTATAATAATTGTCGTTCGTAATTATTTTTGTTTAACGCAAAATTTTTCTCTCGCTTGACTATAACACTCGATTATGCTTCGAACAGTATTATACGAGTCATAAAAAGCAACGCTAATAGATATTTTCATGCAAATAACGAAATACATGCGGTTTCTACTATTAGAATCAATATAGTTTATGTAATTAATAATTTAATTAAATTTTTGCTTTCGTGCATCTTTTTTGTTATACTGCAATTCGTATAAAAAATTAAGCGTAACTTTGGAACTATTTGTTGATAATAAAAGAAATATTTCTCTTTTATATTAATCTCTAGCCCACACTCCATTGACTCTGATCATATCTTACAGATATTGTCTATGGCCCGTATTCAGAACGCGCTTTTATCGATAAAAGCGCACTTTTATCTCTGAAATTCTATAATATGCGTGACGTAAAGTATAATATGTTAGCGTGCTAACATCGTTGTAAGCGCGTTCTAAATATGGGCTTTTGTCTGTAAATAAAAGATTCATCCCTTTCTGATCTGCTCTGAATTTATTTCACAATGGTGATGAATTACAGACGTGTGTTCGCTATTCTCTCTCTCTTTCTCTCTCTCATTTCCAAAATTACCGGTTCTTCAACCGGAGTTAAACTTAATTCCTGCCAATTTTCGTTTCCAAAATTGATTTGTTTCGAAGGGAAGATGAATGAATACCTTAATCAAAATAATTTCCTCCATTTTCTACTTTATTAATAATTAATAATACTTTATTAATAATACTTTGATTAAGGTATTTCCCTTTGAAACAAATCAATTTTGGAGACGAAAAACGGCAGGAATTAAGTTTAACACCTAATAGATAGTATATTATATTTTTTAAATGATATCTTATTCTCTCTCACGAGTACGACTTTGACGTGGTGAGAGGGCTCAGTATCCGAAGAATATACACAGATATAGGGTAAGGTTGCCGATATCGCACCGGCTCCTAGATCGCACTACCTCGCCTAAAAAATCAGTTATTTTATTCACACACTTTCTTAC